AGTTCAGAATCAGAATCGGCTGCAAAAAAATTCAATTGTGTCATCAGTGTTTAAAATTCGATGTAAAAAAAAAAGGCAGATTTCAATGAGACTGTTTTACTTCCATATGACACATTTGATTAAAATCTGGTTTTCTTTATAATATATTGTCTTTTATTTTAGTTCTTGTGGAAAACTTTACACCAAAAGCAAAAACCAGAGCCCCGAACCCTCGCAGTGCTGCTAAGACAGACAAGTATGGCAAACAATCAACAAGTCTTTAGTTATTTTTTTAAATCTATGTTTAAACTGTGACACTTTTTTTGTTGTTTCAGCTCAAATGCGCTCGTGGTAAGCTCAGATGATGAAGACAATTTTGAGGACTGTAAGTTCATCGTTAATTTAAATGTGCAGAAAGTTGGCTGTAAGGTTAAATCATGCTCTCCCATTTCTCTTACAGTTTTGCAGCGAGTTAAAACCCCTGCTGCCAAGGCGAAGAAAAGATCTGAAAGCGGCAGTGAAGACAGGCCAGTTTAATCTTTAATACTTCTGTCTAAAACATTCCTTTATAATGGCACAAATTTTGACTTCCTCTCTTCTTTTTTTCTAACAGCCTGAAAAACTTCATTGTGAACGATTTCTCATCTGATGACGACTTTATTGAAACAAAGTCATCCATTAGAGGTAAATTATATTCAATCTTTGTTTGTACGCACAGTGGCATTAAAAAGTAGCTGCACCCAGTTAAGTTTACTAAACAACTTTCTGCTTTCATTTGGATCAGACTGAAAGAGAATCGATGCAAATTAATGTTTTGAGACATGAAAAAAAATAAAATTGCTGGTGTTTTCATTTGTTTTAGGATTTTTATGTGTAAAGTGTTAAAAAGTTTGTAAATTTGCGAAGCATGTAAACATTTTAACAGCAATGTTATTTTTGACAGCCAGCTTAGATTTAGTCTTAGTTTTCATCCTGAAGATGAAAACTATTATTAGTTTTATTCACATTTTAGTCATTACTATATGTGATAGGTTTAGTCAGTTTTATGTTGCACCTCATGAAACAGCTAACCTTTATATTTTCCAATAACAACCATATTCTTTACCTGACTGACGGCTTTTGCCTAGATACTACAATTGCTGGAGATAAAATGCTGCAGTTCATCATTCCTGTTGAGCAGAAAACAGATTTTTTTTTAATTCAAATAAACTTTTTTTATGAATTAATGCCCTACTTTATACAAACAAGTCTCATAAAAGTTGTGAAAATAGCAGATCTAGTTCAACACTTCATATTAGTTATTATAGGTGACAGACAGGCTAACAAAATGTACAATAAAGGAATAGTTTTAAACATACAAGGTTTCCGTCATGAAGCAAACACTTCTTGATCTATAAATTACGCATTCCACACAGATCAATAAAATCTTCATTACTTCAAAAAAGCAAAGAACAAAAACATTCTTATTTCTACTTTGGCAATTTTGTCTTTATTTCTAAGAATTTGCCCCTTTCTTACCGCTGCTCAGGGGTCAAAATAGATTTATATTCATAGGGGTCTGATATAAAAAAATTACACAGATAATCTACATAATTGCTTTATAATGCCATGGTAATCCGCAGCTAAATTTCAAGAATATGTTAACTGAAATGTTGAAATATTCAAAGGAAACAGAGATAATGTTTAAATGACAATACATGGAAACCTTTACATCATACTTGAATAAATAGAAACAAGAAATGAAAGATCAGTATTTAATTTACCTTTTCATCTGGGTCTTTATCCAAAAATAAACAATATGCAATTAAATATTTCCTTTAGAACAAAAAAACTTGATAGTTAAACAAAAAGATTTTTTACACTTGGCAGAGGCTGATAAGCCACATATACTAACCCTGGCAGAAATGATGGAATCACCGGCCTTGGATGATATTCATTCAGTTGTTTATTTTTTTTTTCATATTTTGTCCCTCTGCTTGGTATAAAAAAGTAACTGTTAAGGCTGACTTATACTCAGAAACCAGGTCGTCTGCGTGTGTCGCAGTGAATGCAAATGTGCCTCTGCCCCTGCCCCTGCCCCAGCCACTCTGCTGCACCTCTCCAAAATTGTAGGTGACCGCAGACAGGAGGCCTCTGATTGGTCAAATCCACATCCGCTCTACACTATGCGTGTTTCCTGTTTGGTACCTTACCGGCTTGTTTTGTGGAAAACGACTCGTGAAGTTGGACCAGCTAGAAGAGCGTGGTGCACGAGGACGCTGGGACCTTTTTTCCACCTGGATCCCGCTCTTTTTCGCCCTCATTGTCCCTCCGTTGTCGGACAAACTTGCCCCCACTTCGTCACCGCCTTGACTGTATCTAGACCCACAGCTAGTTCCTGGTTGTCCCTGTTGCGTTGTGGCGTGGAATAAAATAGTGCAGACCACGCTTCAATATTGGGCATAAATCAAAACATTTCTATCACAAGCTCATTGCAACACACTGCTGCTGAAGTATAACCAGCCGTTTACCAACTACCACAGTGTTTCCTAAAGCAAGACAGTTGCTATTTGAAATGACTTTAGTTTTGTGTCATGTTTGTGAGCTGCTTTTTTTTCTACAAAATTAAACAACTGACTGAACATCCTCCAAGGCTCATGATTCCATAATTTTTGCCAGGGATTGTAGTTTATTAATTAGCGAGGGCAGGAAGAGCCATTCTGCTGAAAGTGAACCATCAGTGTGGAACGTAAAGCGCAGATTCGGAGCTAAGTGCGCACAAGGACGCATATCTGCACAAGAACATCTGGAAGAGCAGAGCAGTTTGTCAGAGTTGAGCGCCCAGTACCAGACCATTCTGGCTTACTTTTACCCCTGCTTCTGCTGCCATGGTCCATCTGTGGTCATGCAGAATGTGCGCCGCTGCTCGCCAGGTGTGTGGCATGACTAAACAGGACGTTAGCAGCATGGCTGACACTGCTTAGCTTGCCTTATAGATCGCAGCACAACGGTCCGTTTTAAACATCTGACAGAAACCCGCTAATTTTTAATTTGGTCTCATCAACAAAAACTTAAACCCATGTTCAGCTTCTCAGTTCTCATTGTCATCATGAAAAAAAGAAGCGTCAATGAAATAAGTTTGTGTCACCATTGACGAAAACGACCCTGTTTAACACATTTGTTTAAAGTCTGTCATAGTTTTATAACCAACACTTTAAAATTGTCCTTTTTTCTATGATTTAGTTATTCGCTTTTTTGCCTTTTTGAAAACTTCTTTACAAGTTAATCAACTGATGAGTGAACTAAAGACTTTACTCTGCAGTTCGTCCAGCGACCATCACTCCAGCAGGACAGCCTTCATTCAGAAGACCCCTCGCCCATTTAAACTCCCCCGTCTTTGTTAGTGACAGCGGGGATGATGATGACGATAACATCGTCATAAGGAGCACTTGGAAGACTCGCCACTCAAAGCCCAAGCCTCCGCAAAAAGCTGAACAGAGAGAAAACGAGGAGGAAGAGAATCGTTCACCAGCATCACCGTTGCTGCCCAGTCTTTCCTTTTTCCTCCATCCTCCCAGCAACACTCAGACATTAAAGACTTCGCCCATACGCACTCTCTCAGCCCCTTCTAGGCTGGATGAGTCGAGCGGTTCAGAGGAAGAGTTTGGGTCCCTTTTGGAGAGGCTGAAAAAGAAAAATATTCTCACAAGCACCACGGTCACTCCGAAAACCTCTAAAGGTAAAGGCTCTGCTTTGCTTTAACCCTCTGTGAGCTGGTGGAGGATTTCTCCTGTTTGAACATTTTCTTTACTTTCTTTACATTTTAGAATCAGAAAAAAAGGTTGTGCTTCCAACTCCAGCTCTCAAGCCATTCCCAAAACCAAACTCGAAACCAATGAAAGAAAAGCCTGAAGATGTGAAAGCTCAAGGGAAACCCTCCATTGTGAAGCCTAAAGGCAGTCAGACTGAACCAAGACCCGCCACACTGAGCAGGTCGGCTTTTCTTCACGGTTGTCTGCTTTATTCCTGTTGATCTGAGACTAATCTTGTCTAATTTCCTTCTAGGATCCCAATGTGTAAGACCCCTGGCTGCTTCCTGGACTCCCTCACAAATCCAGGGTCCAAATATGGGTCCAGTTTCAGGACAAATAAGGAAGAACTCACAAGCAAACTGTACCAGCTCTATAACACCAGTGTTTTCGACGACAAGGTGATCTCAATCCACTCGCCCCTCTGCTTCACTTTTGTTTTCTGCAGAATTTGTACTATTACTAGTGATGGTGGATGCACACTTGGGTTTGTTTTTACCTAAATACAGGCAGCATAGGAATACAGCATTATTGCAATAATAGAAACCAATACATCTTTCCCACTGGCCAAAAAACGTGTTTAAACCGGGAACAATTGGCTTTTAGTGGCAGTGGGAAAAGCTCACTGACACGTATTTACCCAAATCAAACGACTAGGCAAGCAAAAAAAAAAAAAATCGCCTTGGTAACGTATGGACGTAAACACATTGTGCCAGTCGCTTCTGATCTAAAAAGCTGAAACAAAATTTGAGCTTACATTCCATAGAACTGGTGCGACACTGATAAGAGGGATTTGGACAGATAAAAAAGAAAATAATAAAGAATAGTGATTAGGCTCTGGCTCCCGTACATGTTGCTCTCCATTATTTACTGCCCTGATTTCCGTCGCACTGTCGACATCATCGACGCTCACCCAGCTTGATGCCGTCATCAGACATGCAGTGGCCCCGCAGCTCGCCAGCGGGGGGTCGGATTCGGCTTTTCGGTCAAATGGGAAAAGAGCCAAAAGCCGATACTTGGTGGGTCGACCCGGTTTTGAAAAACCCGAGTTTTCAGTCAGAAAGCAGCTTAATAATCTTTTGCCTTTATTCTGAGTTTGCTTACTGTGTGTAACTTCTTTATTTACTGTCATAAGGGAGAGTTTAATAGTAGTTAATTAGTTAGTTCTAGGTGCAGATGGACCTAGATAGTTTTTGTTTTGTTTTTATGATTGAGTTTAGGCTTGTATAATTTAGATTTTTTTAGGTGGAACAAAAATATAACTACGGAATTAAAAGCTGAAGTTACTCATTTAATGTGCTGTAAATACATTGCAATGGATTTTAAAATTTTCACATTTTTCTGGGGTTTAATTTTTGGGCAAAAAATATCCAGGAAGAACTAATCTTTCTCAGTAAGAAACAGCCAATCAGACGCCTGGGTTTCTATTGAATCGACTGTACCCCCTCCCACTGAGTTTGATAAGTGAAGTTGACAGTTTAAATGATTTTATGAGCCCAACTTGACGAAATAACTTAAGTTTGAAATTATGAAATGCAAATGACCCAGCATTAATGTCATAATTAGAATATTATTCAGTTTGGAATTTCATAATTAAAAAGTACATTTAATTATTTAATGATGTATTTAATAAACAAAGTGGTTAGTTTCTGTCATTTTACATTTAATTATTCTATAGTAAATATATATTTCTACCAATTGTTTTATGCTGTAGTTATTTCAGTTTGTCCCTCTTTACCTTCCATACATCTGAGAAGATGCTGCTTATAGAAGCCTGCACAAATAAAAGCAAAGTGTTTTTTGGCTTTGATACATATTGAGTATGCAAAATATAGGAATTATGTGAAATAATAAGTATTTTCAGTTTATGTTGTGCAAACAATAAAATGATAAATTAACCAAATGCCTAAGTCTAGAGCGTTAATCTCAGTCAGTAGGTTAGACGTTGCCCCTCCTGCCTGTGTTGCTGTTATGGATCTGGGAATACTTGTGATGAAATTATAGAACATGGGATTTTTAGACATTAATATTTTAGAAATCTTATTATTCCATGAAAAATTCTGTATCCTGCAAAACCAATTTTATTGGAATGTTTTCTTGACTTTTGTAGTTTAGATTTTATTAAGTCTAATCTAAGAGGAAAGGAAAAAGTCCATACTTGTTGTCATGGTTTGCATTACTAACTTTGTTTATTCATGAACGGCATTTTTAGCTTCCAACCGATATGTCTGTTACCTGGAATAAGAAGATGCGGAAAACAGCCGGGTACTGCATCACAGGGCAGGAACGATGCGGAGGAAGCCGATACGCTCGCATCGACTTGTCAGAGAAAGTCTGCGACTCTGCAGGTGATGCTCCTAAAAGATAAACATTCTGTAGTTCTCACGATTGGTGAAAATGCAGCATCTCAGGCTGAACTCCCGGATTTATTTCTTTTCTCCATGCCAGATCGCCTTAGAGACACTCTGATCCATGAGATGTGTCATGCTGCCACATGGCTGATAAATGGTGTGAGGGACGGACATGGAAGTTTCTGGAAGATGTATGCACGGAAAGCCACGATCGTACATCCTGAGCTTCCTGTTGTGACGCGCTGCCACAGCTATGACATCAAATACAAGTTCCAGTATCAGTGCACCCGCTGCAAGAACATGTAAGTCTGCGTAATCCTTTTAGTATTATTTTCTAAGAACTGTTTTGAATTCAATTATTCCAAGATTATCCAACGAAGAAAAACATTTTTCCTTTGTTTCTTTGCAGGATCGGCCGTCACTCCAAGTCACTGGACACTCAGAAGTTTGTTTGCGCCCTCTGCACTGGTCAGCTGATCTTACTTACGCCTGTGAAGCCCCGCGCTCCCACTCCATTCGCCACGTTTGTCAAAGAGAATTATGGGAACGTGAGGCAGGAGCTGATGGGGCAGAGCCATGCGGAAGTGATGCGAAAACTGAGCGCAGACTTTGCCTCCAAGACCAAACTCAGTGAAAGCTGATGGAGCAGATTTACTGCAAACCTTTTACCTCATTCAGTGACTCTTACTGCCTTGGCTACGGTGAAATTATATCAAATCCTTTTTTTTTTTTCCTTATGATTTTGACTGGAAATGTGAACCAGAACAGCCAATCTGTTGAATGTTGTTGTGCTCAGGTAGATGTAATTGTTTAATGACTGGTCATTTGTTTACAAGCAGGGAATAAATTTTTCTAATAAAAATCTGAAACATAAAACCAACATCTGACATCTTTTTTTGTACAATTATAAAAAGATGCTACCTTGGATTTGAGACTTTCTTTGAAGTTATCTTAATTTTTTTTTACTACCGATAAACAATATAATAAAACATTTTTTCAATTAACTTTAAACTTTAGGTTATCCTACCTGAGTAATAAATAAAGCAAGCAGAGTTGGGTTGATTACCCCCTAAATTCAATAAAAGAGTAGCAGTACTTTTTATATATATATATATTTTTTGACCCAAATAAAAAGAGGTAATAATCCAATAAATTACTCCAGTAGGAGAAAAAAGTACCATATAAAATGACTACTCAAGTATTGTCTAAATGTTGGCTAGTAACGTCTGATTTAATGTTTGTTATCAGTTATTCGCTAATTCTTGTATTTTAAACTAAAAAAAAATATATATATATATATATTACAAAATAAAAAAAATTGGGCAGAGGAAACATTTTTCCAACTCTGATAAAAAAAAAAAAAAGTGCAGCTACAATTTCTACTGTTTACTGCATTTTCAACCTAATCTCCAAATGGCTCAACTTACTTGTAGGTAGAGTTTCCAGTCAAGTATGAGTAGAGATACTCTCACAAGCATGTGACGTCAGTAAAGCGTAAAAGTACCGTGAAGTACAACTACTACAAAACTGTTTACAATGAGGTAAACAAAACTCGATTAACTACCAGAGAACCCCTGGAGATCAGAGCAGGAACTAATGGGTAGTTAACCATTAATTACTGCAGAAAGCACCTCTTTATTATGGGACTACTGCTTAGGTACTTGAGAAAAAAGAATAATGTGTGGTTACCAAGGAAACAAAAAATAACTAATCATAAACCAATGGGTACTGTAGATAACCAGTACGTATTATGGGGCTACTGTTTTTTAACAAAAATATTTGAGTAGAAATTCATCAGTTTTAGTTCTATATAAACTCAACCTGTGAAGTCACAGATTACCAAAAACTAGTTTACTGAATAGCAGCATATCCAGTTACTGAGGAACTAATCATTACCTAACCAGACCATTATACATACATAAACTAAAATAAAGTGAAACTAACCTTTAGTTCCTTTTTAGTTCATCTTTGGTTTCCTTGGTAACTAAGCAGTAGTCCAATAATAAGGCTGGTTTGGCTGTTTCAAAGTAAGTACTGATTAACTACCTGTTAGGTAATCATATTTTGTTTACCTTATTGTAAAGTGTTACCTTTTTTTAATTCACTTAAGTAAATATAAATAGTTTCCGTCCACCTCTGTCTGCAACTGACTTTATTTAGTTTATCTTTGGGATTAATTAAGTATTTTTGAATTGAATTGATTTACATTTTATGAAACTTTTCCTGTTTTGAGTTTTTTGAATGAATGCTATCCTGGTAACCTCTGTAAGTTGAACACATCAGAGAGGGACATTTTTTTTTTTTTTTACCAGTACTTTTTATTTTTTCCCCACAAACAAAGAAAAGGTTTCGCTGATTACAAAGTATATTTTCAGGCATCTATGATCCGTTTTAATCATCATTTTATTTAGATGTTATGCTAATTTTAATCAAATTGTTGCCCTAAATTATTTATTTTATGGAAGATTTAAAGATATATTAGAACATTTTGATAAGAAATGTTTAAAACGTTGTGAAAGATTCCTTTAAACTTGACATCAAAAACACTGGCATGATCAGCGTGCTAACTACAACTGTTTATACTTATTTATTTATTTTATGTTTATATTTATTTATTTATACTGTTACTATTTTTCAAGGCTGCACTTTTAAAAAAGATTAAATTTTCCCAAACGAAATTTCTTTTTGATTTACACTTGTGTAAGCAAAACGACAAGTCTGTCTATATCTATATATATCTATAACTGCTAACAATTAGCAAGCTACTGTTTCTAAATGTATTTAAGCCGCTGACTGCAGGCTCACTTCCAGAGCAGATAGTCTGACTAACTTGATATCGGTTCAGGCTTTTACTTGTTTAATTTACGAAGGAATACGGTCGGGGTAGATAATCTAGCTTAACGTTTTTAATAACAACATATCTATATAGAATTTTTCTCACAGCGCCCAAAGCTGAATAGGCTTTGTTTGTATAATCATCTTGTAATCAGAAGGTTGAGAGTTTGAGTAATATCACCTCTGACTGTCTATTAAAGAAATATAACATTAAACTATTCAATAAGAAAAAGAAGTTGGTAATAAAAGTAAAATACAAAAAATAAAATAAAAAACACAACACACTGCTTCATTATATTTAATAATTTCTTTAAACACTACTCTGCTACCTTTTTTTATGCTTTGGCTCACACGATACAAAGTACTCAACGATTCAGAGGAGCAAATGTGCACAGCGGGAGAATAAATATATTTATATATATAGAAAACATACAATATTCAAAGCTTTGGGGATGGAGGGATCAGTGAGGAGGGTGAGTGGATTTGTGGAGCATCTTCCCTGATTGTGATGGTTGCACCTTCAGGCGCAGGCACAAATCCAGAAGGAGTGCAGGGATCAGACAGCATTCCCTGGTTCTCCAAGGTTAGTTCTACAAACAAGGGCAAAAACAAAGAGCCCAGTAGAACTTGATGCATAAACTCTTCTAACAAGTGAAGCACTGGAATGTACTGGTTGTCACTCTTTTAGCAGGCACTGAAATTTTCCTTATGATTACACCTGAATTTGTCATTAACATAACTTTATTTCTAATACAAATCTGCAGCATGTTGAGTTTTTATACGGCTGTAAATCAAATATGAACAATATTTGACTTTGCAGCAGTACTCTTCACGTCCAATACATGTTTAATTCTGATGTGTTTTGATACGTTTTAGGTGAAAATTATGGCACGACACAACAACATTTCCTACATGAGTGTACGAGCAGCATTACACACAAAGCAAAGTTCGGGCCCCGTTTGGCACTACGTCACCAACCCAGACGCCGTGCTCTGCCTTTAGTACAGGCAGGTTTTCTTCATGATGCGCAGAAACTCCTGCTCGTTCACTTCTCCGTCCCCGTCCCTGTCCGCTTCGTCTATCATCTCCTAGACACACAGGAGGGTTGAAAAGAAAGGAAACAAGTTGGAGAGAGCGAGCTAAAAATGCAATGTGTTGACAATACAGGAAATTCCAAGCTGTATGCTGGCTTTTCCTGTTATTACTACAGCAGATACACTACCGTTCAAAAGTTTGGGGTCACATTGAAATGTCCTTATTTTTGAAGGAAAAGCGCTGTACTTTTCAATGAAGATAACTTTAAACTAGTCTTAACTTTAAAGAAATACACTCTATACATTGCTAATGTGGTAAATGACTATTTTAGCTGGAAATGTCTGGTTATTGGTGCAATATCTACATAGGTGTATAGAGACCCCTTTCCAGCAACTATCACTCCAGTGTTCTAATGGTACAATGTGTTTGCTCATTGACTCAGAGGGCTAATTGATGATTAGAAAACCCTTGTGCAATCATGTTCACACATCTGAAAACAGTTTAGCTCGTTACAGAAGCTACAAAACTGACCTTCTTTTGAGCAGATTGAGTTTCTGGAGCATCGCATTTGTGGAGTCAATTAAACGCTCAAAATGGCCAGAAAAAGAGAACTTTCATCTGAAACTCGACATTCTATTCTTGTTCTTAGATATGAAGGCTATTCCATGCGAGAAATTGCTAAGAAATTGAAGATTTCCTACAACGGTGTGTACTACTCCCTTCAGAGGACAGCACTAACAGGCTCTAACCAGAGTAGAAAAAGAAGTGGGAGGCCGCATTGCACAACTGAGCAAGAAGATAAGTAGATTAGAGTCTCTAGTTTGAGAAACAGATGCCTCACAGGTCCCCAACTGGCATCTTCATTAAATAGTACCCACAGTAGCTTGTTTGTGCTGTCCTCTGAAGGGAGTAGTACACGCCGTTGTAGGAAATCTTCAATTTCTTAGCAATTTCTCGCATGGAATAGCCTTCATTTCTAACACATTGTACCATTAGAACACTAGAGTGATAGTTCCTGGAAATGGGCCTCTATACAACTATGTAGATATTGCACCAAAAACCAGACATTTGCAGCTAGAATAGTCATTTACCACATTAGCAATGTATAGAATGTATTTCTTTAAAGTTAAGACTAGTTTCAAGTTATCTTCATTGGAAAGGACAGTGCTTTTCCTTCAAAAAGAAGGACATTTCAATGTGACCCCAAACTTTTGAACGGTAGTGTATATTTTGTTGTATGATGCTGTTGCTCACCTGCAGCTCGTCATCCGTCAGGTTTTCCCCGAGCTCTTTAGCCACTCTTTTCAGGTTCTTGAAGGAGATCTTGCCTGTTTCATCGTCGTCAAATAGCCGGAAAGCTTTAAGAATCTCCTCTTTGGAGTCTTTCTCAGCCTGGAAATTAGGTGAGATTATTACTAGGAAGCATCTACAGGAAAAGCAAAACAAACGGGGAGAATATAAGCACCCTGCTGCCTTTCTGCTCCACTTGTAATGAGCATGGCGTAGATTAACACTTGCAAAAATATTCTTACAACTTATTTTTTTCCTCATTTGAT